TTAAATCCCAACAGATACTGCAGTAATCGTATTGGATGGAAAGGACTAGAGTTTATAATTATCAGAATATTGTGAGGATGGGACTTAAAAATTACAACCTAGCAGTCAGTCCCATTCTGTTTGGAAGAGATACATTTCCTAAGGGTACTGAAAGATTTAAAGTAAAAGGATCCAACCAATTATATATATATGTAAAACAGCTTATATATTAATAGCAGTAAAAGTAGATGCTAAGGAAAAAGAAAATCATTGCTAGAGTAAGGAGGAAATTTAACCAGGCTGAAACTTTCACTGAAAAGAGATTCTGAATTTAGAAGGACTTACAACATGGCATTAAAAAAATACAGCCAAACTGATAGACTGATGGAGATGAATCTACACAGTGTGAGATTTTATCATATCTTTCTAGAAAATGATATAAAAAGCAGACGAAAGATCGGTAAGGTAAAGAAAATGGGAAGTGTATGTACGCCCCCGGATGAAGAGCCCTGGCCTCTGGGAGGTTACTGAGTGGAGCGGGATTAGCACATAACAAAGAGCTCAAGATCAAGGCCCAGCTCTCCTGCCCTGTGCCATGCGGAGGACCTGGCCACAAGGCATGGTCCTTGGGGCTGAGAACAGCCCAGCCCAGAAGGTGAAAGTGCAGAGAAAGCTGTTGGATTCCTGGAAGAAAAAGATGGGGCATTTGTTGTGCAAACAGCTATACTTCCTGCACACCTGTTTGAATACCCCACTGGGCTGGAGCATTGTTTTCTACACTAGTCTGCAGGAAGAGATGGTTCTGATGGCCTAAGTGTCCTTCAACCCAGCAAACCACTTTGCTCTGCCTGGAGCTCCCCAGCATCCTTCCTACCTGCTAGAAGTGGGAGCCAGGCAGGGGTGGGTAGCCTGAGGCTCTCTTGGGTCCAGAGTATGCTATCCCTGGAGCTTTACTGGATGTGCTGGTGTCCCGTCAGCTGGTGTCAGAGTGGTGGTTGGGTTCTGTGAGGTCTCTGTGCACTCAGGTGATAGTGAAGTGGGGAAAAGTCACACTTCAGAGGGAAGAGGAGTTCAAGTACTGGCAAAGGTGTCTGAAAATCCAAATGATGATGCCTCGCTCCTTAAGAATCCTTCTCCACAGTTCCAGATGGCTGCGCACAGCAGTCAGATGTCCGTTAGTGCTGCCGAATGTGCCGGGAATCCCTTTTTTACCCCCATTTAGATGTCCCACTCGCCTGTTATTTCCTGTGTACATTATGCTGGATACCATACTCCTTGAGAACTGGGATGATAATATGCTGTCAAACACAGTCTCATGTGAACCCATTTCCTTTTTAGGTTGAATTCTGACAATGTCTCATGCTGTGTGGATGGTGTGGCTGCTGTGGGCTGTGATCAGCCCTTCTGAGGAAGGACCCCTGGCTCAGGCTTCTCTGTCTTGTGACCCAGCTGGTGTCTGTGATGGCCGTTCCAGGTCTTTCAGCTCCATTCCCTCAGGGCTGTCGGCATCCGTGAAAAGGCTTGACCTGTCCAACAACAAGATCACCTCTGTGGGCCGCGGCGATCTGCAGAGATGCGTGAATCTCCAGCATCTGGTGCTGAAGTCCAGTGGAGTTCGCACAATAGACGAAGATGCCTTCCTCTCCCTGGGCAGGCTTGAGCATTTGGACTTATCTGAAAACCACTTGTCTAATTTATCATCCTCTTGGTTCAGACACCTTTCCTCCTTGAAATTCTTAAACCTACTGGGAAATCCTTACCAAACGCTCAGCAAAACGTCTCTTTTTTCTCACCTCACAAATTTGCGAGTCTTGAGGGTAGGAAATGATGGCTTCACTGGGTTGCAGAAAACAGACTTTGCTGGACTCACCTTTCTTGAGGAACTTGAGATCAAGGCACCAAATCTCCAGAGTTACGAGCCACAAAGTTTAAAGTCAATTCGGAACATCAGTCATCTGGTCCTTCGCATGAGACAGTCCCTTTTACTGCTGGAGATTTTTGTAGATGTGTTAGCCTCCGTGGAACACATGGAACTGAGTGATACCAATTTGAATACATTCAGCTTCTCAGAGCTGTCAGTCAGTGGTACAAGTCCACTGATTAAAAAGTTTACATTCAGAAAGGTGGACATTGCTGATAAAAGTGTTGGTAAAGTTCTGAAACTCATGGCTTATGCCTCTGAATTGTTAGAGTTAGAATTTGAGGACTGCACTTACAATGGAGTTGGAGACTTTAACACTGCTGAGATAGAAAAAGCGTATCCAAAAAAAGGAGAAGCGGTAACAATCCGGAGGATGTCTATTCCGAATTTCTACTTATTTTATGATCTCAGTAATGTATATTCACTCGTAGGAAGAATTAAACGAATCACACTAGAAAACAGTAAGGTTTTCCTGGTTCCTTGCTCACTTTCACGACATTTGACGTCACTGGAATACTTGGACCTCAGTGAAAATTTGATGGTTGAAGAGCACTTGGAAAATTCAGCCTGTGAGGGCGCCTGGCCATCCTTACAGACCTTAATCTTAAGGAAAAATCATTTTATATTGATAGAGAAAACTGGAAAGGTTTTGCAGACCCTGCACAACCTAACCAGCCTGGATATCAGTAAAAACCGTTTTCATTCTATGCCTGAAATTTGTCAGTGGCCAGAAAAGATGAGATATTTGAACTTATCCAGCACACAGATACACAGTTTAACCGACTGCATTCCCTGGACCCTGGAAATCTTAGATGTCAGCAATAACAATCTCAATTCGCTTTCTTTGCGTTTGCCTCAGCTGAAAGAACTTTATATTTCTGGAAATAAGTTGAAGGTTCTCCCAGATGGCTCTAGGTTACCCATGTTGCAAGTTTTGAAGATCAGCAGGAATATCATAAATGCTTTCTCCAAGGAGGAGCTGGATTCCTTCCACAGCCTGAAGACCTTGGAAGCTGGTGGCGACAATTTCATCTGCACCTGCGACTTCCTGACTTTCGCGCAGGCGCAGCCGGCGCTGGCCAAGGTGCTGAGCGATTGGCCCGCCGGCTACCTGTGCGACTCCCCGGCCCACGTGCGCGGGCAGCGGGTCCAGGACGCGCGGCTCTCGGTCTCCGAGTGCCACCGGGCAGCGCTGGTGTCCGCGGTGTGCTGCGCATTTCTCGTGCTGCTCCTGCTTCTAGGGGCCCTGTGCCGTTGCCTGCACGGAGTGTGGTACCTGAAAATGATGTGGGCCTGGCTCCAGGCCAAAAGGAAGCCCCGGAGGGCTCCCCGCGGCGACATCTGCTACGACGCCTTCGTGTCCTACAGCGAGCAGGACTCCTACTGGGTGGAGGAGCTGCTGGTCCAGGAGCTGGAGCACTCCGAGCCCGCCTTGCGCTTGTGTCTGCACAAGCGGGACTTCGTCCCGGGAAAGTGGATCATCGACAACATCATCGACTCCATCGAGAAGAGCCGGAAGACGGTGTTCGTGCTTTCCGAGAACTTCGTGAAAAGCGAGTGGTGCAAGTACGAGCTGGACTTCTCCCACTTCCGCCTCTTCGACGAGAACAACGATGCTGCCATCCTCGTTCTGCTGGAGCGCATTGAGAAGCGCGCCATCCCCCAGCGCTTCTGCAAGCTGCGGAAGATCATGAACACTAGGACCTACCTGGAGTGGCCCGCCGAGGAGGCGCAGCGGGAGGCGTTTTGGACGAGTCTGAGAGCCGCGATCAAATCCTAGGTTCTTGCGTGCAAGGCCCATGTACCACTAATGGGGATCAAGTTCAGTGTGACGTAACTATGCAAAGAGCTCAGGAATCACTATCGTCAGACGACTTGCTTACTAGAACTGCAGTTTTTATCTAGAGAGCTGTTTCATAAAAACTGTGACCAGGTTTTAAAACATGGCTTTGGTTTTTTTTTCATCTAGGAGATAATCATGATCTAAGTCCCTACTTGGTATCTGAATAATCTCCCGCAGCTGGCTTAGTTTGCCAGGAAATAGCACAGTGGGCTGATGATTTCAAACGCCTGGTACTGTTGGCTTTCTGCGGACTCCTGTCGCCTCTCTTGCAACTGATCTCAAGATCAACAAGGCAGAATACTGCAGGGCACTCAGCCAAACTGGCTGCTGTTCCTAGCAAAAGGGTGTTATGTTCCCAGTGACGCTTTTCAGTGTGCGAAGGACACGGCGGCTTTTCATGGGATCTGTCTTCCTGGGAACTGGATAGATTTGCCCACAAGAAACAGCAGACTTTGTCTGACCATCAGAACAAAATCATTGAGATGAATGAAAGATTTAGTTTGGAAGAATTTGAACGTAGTCTCCTACATCCTGACTTGTCTGGTTATTTCTAAGTAGTGTTAATTTCTAATTAGTGTCTGGTTATGCTTGCTTTCTGTTCCCTCACACACATCTTGTTGCTTTTATTCCTGTGAAAAGTCTGGTTTCTAATGTTTTGAGAACATTTCCCTTTTTTTTCCTGAAAATTTAAAAAAATTATCTGAGAGCTAAATAGATTTTTAAATAAGTATATACCTAGACGTTCTTTACCAGGACTCAAAAATAGTTCGGTACACAATTTGAACATAGATATTGCTATCATATGTTGACTTTTATAATCCAGATTTCATAACACATTCAATTTCAATGTACCATTGTTTGTGAAGAGCACTTCCTGACTCTGCAGCTTTCTCCTCCCACCTGAAAGAGAATGAAAGTCCTGTAAACCTAGCTCCATTCTCAAGCAGAACTAAGTTTAAGTGGTTACTCTGGCTCTGGGGCTGAAAAGACCTATGACAGTATATGTGTTATCTCTGCTTGATCTGACCTCCCATGTTTTCCTGTCTTTAAAATGTGGATAGAGTTCTGTACGGGCTCAAGCCCTAAGAGTATAGAATACAGTGGTCCACCATCCCTGTGACCATTCCTTTTCACCTGGGGGTGAGGAGGGCGAGGGTACCAAACCTATGAGCATGGAGCCCACAGATGTGTGGGACTGGACAGGTGCCTGTAGTAGATGTCAGTAGATGGTATATATTTTCCAGGAAGTGATTAATTTCTTGTTATATTATGGCATATAAATGGATATTTTTCTGTTCTGGATACTAGCAAGGATGTAAGGGACCCTGGTGTTTATAGGAAAATACCCTAAAGAAATAAGTTCATTAAGTGTGTAACAGGCTTTAGCCTTAGAGAGTTCACATAGCGCTTCTCTTCCATACACATTCCCAGGAGAATGTAGTGAAGGAGCCAACAAAAAGCAGACAAGTCCAGAAGAAGAAAACTTGAGGAGATGCCACAGAAGCCCAGCACAACAGTGAACTTTCTGCTTTACTTTCCCATTCGCTACATTAGTGCCATAGTAACTGTCGTGACACCAAAGAGACTTAATCTTGACTTGATTTGTCTGTTTATTTTTTTTTTGGTACCGGGAATCAAACTCACGAACTTGTACTTGCCAGGCAGGTGCTTGTGCCACTGAGCTATATCCCCGGCCCTGATCTGTCTCTTTAACTTTGAGAATTTAAACAGCTATATCAATAGCTTCATAGTCTTTGGTCCATTTTAAGTTGAATTTTGCACAGTGTGAGAGGCATCTAGTTTAAATTTTCTACAAGTGGATATCCAATTCTCTCAGCACCATTTGTTAAATTGGCTGTCTTTTCTTTAACATATATTTTTGGCTCCTTGGTCCAGAACTAGATGGCTGTAGTTGTGTGGGCTTGTTTGTGTGTCCTCAGTTTTGTTCCATTGGTCTGTGTGTCTATTTTTGTGTCAATATCATGCTGTTTTTGTTACTATGTCTTTGTACTATAATTTGAAATCAGGTATTGTAATGCCTTCAGGCTTGCTCTTTTTGTTTAAGATTGTTTTGGCTATATTTGGTCTTTTGTGTCTCCATATGAATTTCAGTTTTTTGCTAGTTCTGTGAAGACTGTGATTGGTATTTTGATGGGGACTGCATTGAATCTGTAGATGGCATCTGGTATTATAGCCATTTTGACAATATTAATTGTGCAAGTCCATGAACTTGGGAGGTCATTCCATTTTCTGATGTTTTCATTAATTTTTTTCTTTAGAATTCTGAATCTTCATTGTAGAGGTCTTTCACTTCTTAATTAGATTGATTCATAGGTACTTTATCATATTTGAAGTGATTGTGAATGCATTTTCCTGATTTCTTTCTCAGTTCATTATTAGTGTATATTAAAACCATTGACTTTATATTCTGCTACATTGCTGAATTTGTTTATCAGCTTTAAAAGCCTTTTAGTAGAGTCTAGGATTTTCTAAGTATAGGATCCTATCACTAGCGAAGGAGGATAATTTGACTTTTTTTCTTATTTGTATCCCCTTTACTTTTTTCTCTTGCCTAATTGCCTTGTCTAAAATTTCAGGAACCACAGTGGGCCTCAGTTCATGAACTTCATTTGTTCCAGGATGCTGGGGAAAATGGCTGTGTTAGCGTTTGTGGGGAGTGGGGGAGGGGAGATGGCCACAGTCCTCTTTGTCTCCTCCTGTGGAGTCTGTGAATGGAAGCAAAATTTTACCAAGCACTTTTGTTCTTGAACTGAATTGTTCACAAACAGAAGCGTTCATGAACCAAGGCATTACTGTATAGTGAATAAGAGAAACAAGAGTGGACATCCTTTGCCTGTTCCTGATCCTATTTTTTGTTAGTGCTCTACCCAAATTTAAGATCTTTTATTTATCAACAGACCATAAGCTCAAGAATATTGTTCTGTCTCCTTACCCTTTGAATATGCCTACTACGTAATAAGTAAATATTGAAATATTTATTGAATATAGAAACAAAAACTAAATCTTCTAGTAATCTAGATGGTGATCCAAAGGTAATACTGAGGTGCTGGGCAGTTCAAAGAGAGAAAACTACCGATGGGTGGAACTCTTAGGGTGAATTTTCTTGATGATGGAACATGAGTAGTATCAGGTTAAGTATCCTGTCAATATTTGGACAAGGGAAATAGCAACCAGGTATTTCCTTCCTGCTTCACGCAAGTTCAGTGACCTCCAGTATTTTAGAGTGGATGTCTAGTGCTCTGTATACAGTGTTGGCTGTACAAATGACTAGTGATTTAAAGCATATTAATTTTGCGAGTCCACCATACCTTTCCTGATGAATTCTTTCTGGTTTGTCTTTCTTATTCAGTTCATTTTGTTCCCTCCTGCCAGATTAATTTACTCTTTCAACAAATATATTTTGAGTGCCTGTTGTGTGTGGAGCACTGCTCTAAGTGCTGGGCATGTAGTAGGAAAGAACAGAGAAAATTCCTTTCCTTCATGGAGTGGAAGACAAATAATAAAGATTTGCTATGACTTCCAGCATCAGTGAGTGCTATGAAGAAGACAACCAGAACACATGGATCTTTTGGGGGAGCTTCTAGGTCTGAACTATAACACGGAGACAGTGAGTCTCTCTCCTTGGGTGGGGTGAATGTCTTTGGCAGCCCCAGGAAACCCAGAGCAGTTTGGCCGCCTGAGCAGGTGTGGAGCCTGCTGTGTGAGGCTCTGGGAGGAATTCCCAGTGTGCAGAGAGCCCGTGGGTTCAGCACTGGCGGGTGGTGACAAGAATGGAGAGTGGGGAGACAGTACTCGTAGCCGCAGTGCCTAGTGGAGATGCGCTCTGCTCCCTGCTCCTTTCTGCTCACCAACTCTAGATGTATGGTTAGGGTTCAGAATACTTAACTATTCTACTTACGTCTTTGAAGATGTGGAAATGATTGGAAGGCACTGATTACACTAGATGTTTTCTGTGAGAAGTGCTTTATAGACCTCAGAAACACTTCACAGATGAGATCACTAGCAGCCACACCAGTGGGCCAGTGTCCATAGTGGGGTGTAGCAAATGGGTCACATGTATGGGTTAGGAAATTGTAATGGGGGAGAGGAAAAGCTGTGTTTTATTTGTTTATTCCATTGTTCTCTTTAAATTCTTTCCACAGAGAAGTTGTTCTGCGTGTGAGCCAAATTTTATTGTTTTCTGAACTCTTGGGATCATCCCTAAAATTAAAAAAAGAACATCAGTACTAAAGCTGAGGCAAAAGATTTAAAAATATTTCAGCCATGCAATACATTGCTTCTGGGGTAAGTTGGCTGCACTATTCTAACCCCAGTGAATAGTTAATGCCTTGAACTATTCCTATGATGACGGGTTGCCAGGCCACCAGGTAACGAAGCCAATCCAGGATTTGCCCGTACAAAATATGTGTGCGTTCCCAGCTAAATCTCAGTTAAGGAGGTTCTACAGGCAGCCAAGAAGCAGAAATATTCACAGTTACCATTTGCAAACATCACAAGCAATGTAATGAGCAGATATTTCCTTTCCTGTTGTTCTATGTGCTCAGTTAAAACCCCTTTCACATGCCTTAAGGGGTGATATATGCAGTCCCAGCTACTCTGCAGGACGAGGCAAGAAGATCACTCGAGCCTAGGAGTTTGGGCAACATAGTAGTAAGATTGTGTATCTTTAATTCCTTACTTAAAAAATAAAAAAGCATCCTTTACTTGATTTTTATAACAATGTGGTTGTTGTTGTTATTTATCCAATATACAATTTCCAACAATAAATTGAATTTTTTTTACAGTAAAATCCCAACCTATAAAATGGGATAAAAGACAAGAATGTGTACTAAAAGGAGGAGGAAGAGAGGAATGACTACACTGGGAAACCAAGGGTAATGGAAGCTACTGTAAATGAACAAGAACTTAGCTCTGGGCTTTCCTATGGTCAGCTCACCAGAGGAAACTCAGAGGGTATTAGGAAGAATACCACTAGCTCTATTGTGGCATCTTTGGTAAATGTTTCAAAGGGAAGTTAGCTAATATATAGCATTTCTGATAGCAGTTACACCCACAAAGAGCAGCTTTTTCATATATAATTTTCCTTATACTGAGTCTCAGTAAATAGGTACATGTAATATTCAGTAGCTGATTCTCTCCGGATTATATAAATAAGCGAGTCACCCTTAATAAGAAACAAATCACCTTTACTGCTATTTAAACTATCATTTAAGGTGACGTTTGTGATCATATCATCACTAATTTTATAACAGGGTGGTTTGCATTGGGGTTTCGTAAGTTATTAGCCCAAAGCTCCCTGGACTGGGTCTCCTCTTACGTGAAGGGGACTCAGGGACGGGAAGGAAGTGGACAGGAGGCAAGCGGGGGAGCGTCTCTCACCTTCAGCTTTGAGTGAGGCCTCAGTGGCACCAACTCACCACCAGAAACGAGGCCCGCGGAAGGAGCAGGGCTCTGCAGGTGGTCTCTGACCCACCGAGCCGGCCTCCTTCTCTGACGCCCACCTAGAAAGTCTCTGATTAAACCATTATTTAGAGTTGGTGAGCAGCGAGAAGCAGGGAGTGAGGAGTGTGTCTCTCTGAGCACTGTGGGATTTCGGTGATTAACACAAGCACAGAGAGGCTGTCTCTTAGGAAGGGAGCGAGTACATGGCAGGTTGATGCCAACATCTCAATGCCTGTTCTGGACCCTTCCGCCCTGGAAGGGAAACCCCATGGTCTGGGAACAGGAAGGTGGAAGACTAAGTCTTTCTGGCTCTCGATGGGGCCATCACCTTCCTGTGATCTGAATGAGACTCGGGTTTATTCAGCGGGGCATCTCTGGTGTCTATGAAAACCCAATTGGTGGCATAAGCAGGCAAAGTCTGTGAGCCTTTGTCCCTTCCCCGTATTATTATCTTTAGGGTTTAGCCTTAGAAGACAGGAAGCATGCTAAAGAATCTCTAAAGCTAAAGTCCAGGGTGGGGAGAAATCTACTTATTTCTGATACTAATGAAATTTGGAGCACCCTAAAATATTTCTCTGCATTCTATTCCACATTTGGGACTTCCACATTTTCAATTCTGATTTGTCTTTTGATCCATCCATCCACCCACCCCTCCAGCCACGCGTCCAACCATTCATCTGTCTCGATTACTCTTCCATATATTTTACCTGTGTTTTGCAATGTCTTCTCACACTACCACCAACCCCATAATGTGGAGTATATGAAACATAACTAGTGGAATGGTTTTCGGCATTTGACATCCTGAGCAGAATAGGCACAGATGAGGAAAGAGAATTTTCCCATTTTGAAATAAAGTTTAGACAACAGAAGTTTTCTGCAGTAACCATATACAGATAATGTCAATTCGGGTGGAAAAATGCATCCCTAAAAACATTAAAGATAGTATTTTGTAACACTGTTATGAAAAGGATACGGGTTACTGATCATCCTCTTCAAATCGACCTTCTCTTTGCAGTAAGGGCAAGTCTGCTTCTTACCAATAATGCACCAACCTCGAATGCAGAATTCGTGAAAGCTGAAGCATCTTGTTAGGGAAGCTTCTAGATACTACAGGGCAATGTCTGGTTCATGGTGACAAGGAAATGACCCCACCCGTGGAGTCTAGCGCGGAGGGCGAGGGGGAACATTATCTTCGCGTCATTCCCACATCGTTTGTTCAGAGACGTTCTGTAGGACCAAGGCAGTGAGTATGGAGTAGGTGCTACATGTACTTCCTCCCTTCCTTCCTCCTTCATTCTCTCCTCCCTCCCTGCCTCCCTTTCTTTTTTCCTTCCCTCCTTCCCTCCCACTTCCTTCCTTTTTTCTTTTTCCCTTTTCTTTTTCTGTGGTACTTGGAATTGAACCCAGGGTGTTCACAGTGAGCTACATCCCCAGGCCTCTTGATATGTATTTTATTTTGAGACAGAGTCTTTCTAAGTCTCTAAATTTCTCAGGCTGGGCTTGAACTTGTGATCCTCTTGCCTCAGTCTCTCACAATGCTGGGATTACAAGTGAGCGTCCCACTACACCTGACCACTGCATTCGCTTTCTGACGCTGAGGAATTTGGTTAGCTTTTTACCGTTCTTGTCCTTACCTCTCCTGATTGCAGGTGACAAAGGATTGAAGGTGCTGTGGTACAGGCGTGTGTCATGAAACGCATCACAGTCCCCCACCCCCTTATCGTGTGTTTCTGCTGGGTCACTGTAACATCTCCAACTCTACTTTTGTGTACTATTTGCTAACCTTCTGTGTAATCAGACTTGTCTTAGGGACTTAGATAAGTTTAAATTATTTGTAGTCGTAAGTTTACAGATTTTTCTTTTCTTTCCTTGTTTTTTTGTTTTTATGTTGGGGACTGAACTTTAGCCTCAGGCATTCTAAGCATCATTGGTGAGCTATAGCCCCACCCCTAAACTTACCAATGTGTCTATTAACTTCTTAACATTTTTTTCTTGGATTTTTAAAATTGCTGATAAAGAGGCAATTAATTTTAACAGAATGTAATCCCCCTAAAGTTAGCCTCTGAAACTCCAGGTATAATAAATTCATTTGTATACATCACCTTTCCCAGAAAAGTCTGTCTTTGTTCCCCAAGCGGAGGTAAACCCCACAGGAGTTATCCTAAAGTGTCATGATGCTCCGCATCCTTATCTGCTCTCTTAAATCACACAGTACCTGTGGGACCATGCCACATTCATCTGTGTCCTCAGTACCTTGAACAGTTGCCCAAGGAATATTACTGAATGAATATTTGAATGAATGAATGAATCACTTGAAATCTGACCCATTCGCCACACATACCTGTTAACAATACTGACGCAGAGGTTTCCTCTAAGAAACAGGATAGCGGAGGTGTAGCCCAGGCCAAAGCCAAAGCTGTATACATAATCCTCAACACTAGCTCTCTATGAAACTAAGAGTTTCCACTGTTTTATGCTCTTGGAATTGGGGGCATTCTTACCATGTGGCTGGATTAACATTAAATGGCATTGGTACAACAAAGATTTTGAACCCAAACCCATACAACCTTTCATTCAAAAAAGCTGTGGTACAGCCTTACTTCCAGATAGGTGTAGAGTCCAGGGGTCACAGAGCCAGCCCGGAAATGTCCACGTCCTCTATCGCATGCCCTTTCATCTTCAAAATCTCCAGGTGAAAAACAGGCACCCTGGCAGATCTGCCTTCAGCAATCCTCAGATAATCCCTCCTTGTTAAGATGACCCATGTTTGGCCGCTTCTCACTAACAGGACTCATGCTCGAATGGCCCATTAATAATGCTCCCTGCAAAGCAAATTTAAAGGTGACTATACTTTCGATTACATGTGCACACATGTACAACAACCCCTAAGGGCTTTTAAAGGTGGAGAGAGAGAGTATTTCCACTGGAAAATCGCAGAAGGGGCTCCGTTCCAACATTTGAAAAGTAAATCTTACTTAAAAAGAGGGCCAGGCTTGGAAAATCCCTACTAAGAATGATAGTTTTCTGGGATACTGAAAACCTGCTATCGAAATCCATATGGGCTATCTTTGTATTTCTTCCCTTTAAATGTTAAGGCTTCAATGCTGGAGAGAAGGCTCCTATTGAATTTGAGATGCATTTGGACCGGTTTTTGACTCTTGGGATTGAATAAGTGGAAACTGTCTGGATTAAACAGAATAGGATAGAGGCACTGCACAGCAAAGGCATTAGGTATTACTGGCCGCAACAGATGGGCTTGGGTGAGCAAGGACAGCTGCTTCCACCATCTCCTCCTGCCAGAGCTTTGATCTGAACAGGTACGTAGAGATAATGTCATAAAATGGATAGTGCATTATAAAATAAAGATGAATGATGCCACCTTTTTTGTATTTGGAAACCAGTTGAAATGTGGACTATTGGCCAACCCAAACACCACTCCAGTATCTACAGTTGCACACTTGGGCAGCGCTGACTGCTTTGTTCAGGTGTCCTGATGCCAACATTTTTCCATACTCTGAAGCTTTTCTGAAGGCTTGCTGGAGTTGCCAGGCAATACTGGGTTTTGGGCGTGGGGTTTGTTGGATACCTGCCACCTCCAGATCCTTCAACCGGCAGAGAATCATGAGGCTGAGGAGCTGCTCAGCCCAAGAAAAACGGGCACATTTTGATCTTTCGTTTTGTAATCTAAGGCACTCTGCTACCTGGGGCACTATTCTCTTTTAAAAAGAACTTAGGGCTGGGGATATAGCTCAGTGGCACAAGCGCCTGCCTAGCAAGCACAAGGTCCTGAGTTTGATTTCCAGTACCAAAAATATAAAGAATAAGAAAATAAAAAGAACCTAGTCCAGAAAGCTGACAAGGAGGCTTGGTTTTCTCCACTAGATGCCACAAATGACTTCTCTGGATAAAAGCACACATTTCTTGGTCCAAGAAGATTCAGACACCGGGCTCCACCTGACGCCTCTCTCTCTGTTGTGCACCCGGCCCCTACGTTTCATGCATTTTCTCACCCACAGCCCTTCTCTCCCTGCTCTTTCTTGGTTATGTGCTCACTTTTGGCTTCTACCAGCTTCCCTCTGCTCTGAAGCTGCAGCCTTCCCTCTGTGGGCATTCGAGATCTCTTTAAAAAGGGAAATGACCGCAGGGGAGGGTTTTCTTAATTAGCAGTATGTTATTCAACAGGGTTTGTCAGAAAGTCTCAAGAATAAGGTGGATAAAGATGCAGGGCTTGGGGACTGGAGCTGAGCAACACCCAGGACACAGAGACAGGAAGAGGAGGAGAAGGGAAGGCAGAGGCTGAGGGAGGCCCCGGGGCTCTGCGGAAAGGATACACGTGGCTACAGGAAAGCTGGTAGGTGTTCTCAATAAGTCCTTCTTCACTGAGCTCCACGATGATCTTCTGCCCACAGACAGCGCAGATACCGTCAGACAAGCTCCGGGTGGGCATCCCACTGACGCTGTAGAACTGTGAGGAGAACAGAGCACTGTTGGAGAGCAGCAGTGTGGGGACAGGCGGCTGTCAGGATGCGGAATCTTCACTGCTTCCCAGCTGGTTTAGAACCCAAGACACCGGGTCCTGCAGAGCAGTGCTGCAGAGGAGGGAAGCTTTGCAGGAAGAACCTACCAAATCCCAGCGGATGCAAAATGCATCGCTGAGGGTAGCCACCCATCACTCCTCCGCAGTCAGGACCCCTGTAGGAGGAACAGCTGTGATCCAGAGCAGCAGTGCAGTCTCACCACGGAAGCTTTTGCTTATACACTGACTGGCCCCTTTTCCTTTGTGCTTCTGGACATTCTGATTCAGAGTTCTGCAGCAAATCCAGCCATGTTCCTATTTTTTAAAACTTCCTGTGTTCTTATTGCATGCACACACATGAATCACTCCTTGAAAGCAATGCATTTAGGGTTCTTGGGATATCCGCATCTTCTGGTGGATAAAGAGTGGTTCTTAACATTTGCAGCATGTCGGAATGGCTAACAAGCTTTTATTTTTAAAAAAATAAAATATGTACTTTATAGCAGTTTTATATTTAAGTAAAATATACAACAATAGCATGGAGAATACCACAATATCCTACCCTGTTTCCTCTATTCTTATCATCAGATTCCTATTAAGGAATCGCCACACATGATTATGGAGGCTGGTAAGTCAGAAACCTTCAGGGCAGGCTAGCAGGAGCTGCTGGAACAAAAGAAGCAGAGAAAGCCCACTAGCACATCCTCCATCCTTCCCTCCCTCCCTCCCTCCCTCCCTCCGTCCCTCTCTCTCTCTCTCCCTGCACCATCCTCAGGCAGAATTTCTTCTTCTCTGGGAAGTCTGTTTTTGCTTTTCAGGCCTTTGGTTGATTGGATGAGATCAGTCCACATCATCAAGGGTAATATGCTTCACTTGAAGTCAACTGGTTACAGATGTTAGGCATATTCATTAGATACCTTTACAGCAACATCTGGACTAGTGTTTAATAAACAACTAGGTAAATGGACAAGTAAAACTTAACCATCACACCCTCCTTTAAGGGCAGAGTATCTTCATCAATTATGTGGCATTCTTAGGCATGAATTTATCTATTTGCCATATATTTATTTATTTAGTCATCTGTTTATACCAATATGGACTTATGATTATTTATTTTATACTTTGAGTTATAGCCCAATACTACCACTGCTACTATTCTACTTTCAAATTTCAGCTTTGTCCATTAGGAGCTCTTTCTGTTGGCTCTTGTATCTCTTTCCTACCATCATGGGGGTTTTGTTTTGTTTTATTTTTAGCATTTCTGTGTTAGTGAGCTTTCCATTGCCCTCACAAAATGCCAGACAAAATCGCCTTGGAGAAAGATTTATCTTTGTCTCATGGTTTCAGAGGTATCAGTCCATGGTTGGCTAGATCCATTGTTACGGCCCTGTGGTGAGGCAGGACATCATGGTGGCATAAGCATGTGATGGAACAACTTACAGCAGTCAGAAAAGAGGGAGGAAGAGGAACAGTAAGGAGAAAAAGAAAGAAGAAGAAGAAGAAGAAGAAGAAGAAGAAGAAGAAGAAGAAGAAGAAGAAGAAGAAGAAGAAGAAGAAAGAAGAAGGAGAAGAAGGAGAAGAAGAAGGAGAAGAAGAAGAAGGAGAAGAAGGAGAAGAAGGAGGAAGAGGAGGAGGAAGAGGAGGAAGAGGAGGAAGAGGAGGAGGAGGAGGAGGAGAAGGAGAA